TGTTTTTAGAGATATAAGTTATCTTAATGAACTTTGTATTTTGGCAAGTGCCAGGGTTATTTTTGTTTTGTTTTTTAGATATGTAGTTTTTAATCTGCTCAATAAGTGTATGTTATAGAAGTAGATATAAAAAAAAAAAATTGCTCATTGTTGTACAAAATAAGTAGTGACAATTCAAGATTTTTTTTTTTATTATCTTGGGGGTCACTATGCCAATTTGCTATTTAATTGGCATAGTTTGGGGGGCTTTGCCTTATTATTTAAGGCAATTTTCCCCCCAAGATAACAGGTTTAATTTATGCATATTTTTATTGTATTGTTTTTATAGTTTCTTTAGTACTGTTTTTTAAATACCTACTTTTCACCATCACTTCATTTACCATTGTAGTTATGGTGCTCGCCATTTCTACCTTGTAGCTTTGCTACCTACATATACTAATAAATTCTTTGTAGTACAATACCAATGTATCTACCAGTAGAGCTACATGTACCTCTACCATCTAACATTCCTGTAGTTACAGTTATTCAGTAACTACCTTGTAGTCGCAGTCACGCTGCTTCTACCGTTACTCTGTAGTTGCACTCAGGCTGCTTCTACCATATATCATTGTAGTTGTAGTCATGCTACATCTACCAGGACATCTCATTTACTAATGTTAACCCATCTTTATACAGTGTTGATGGTTATACTTTTGTTTTATGCATTTTACTATTCTGATACGTTTTTTGGGGGGCTCACCGCTTTTTCGCATTTCTCTGTTAGTTATTCGTTGCTTTAGTGCAGCTTAGGTGGGATTCGGTGAGCCCCCCCTTATTGGCAATAAATATATTTTTTCATTGTACTACAGTGTCTGTGTCATAAATGGTAGGATGAAAATGCCCTGTAAAATACTGCAAAATTACAGCACGGTAACAGATGTATATAATAGCATATAATTCAAGTTCATTTGCTTTTATTTCTTCAATGCTGACTACTGATGACATTCCATATTGAGGTGATATTCAAGTATATTTACCTACCAACATAATTTTTTTTAATAGGTGATATTTATAACAGAGTATATGTCTTCAGGATCGTTGAAACAATTCCTGAAGCGAACCAAGAAAAATAAAAAAACTATTAATGAAAAATCATGGAAAAGGTGGTGCACACAAATCTTATCAGCTCTCAGGTAAGTGTATTGATTCTTCAGGTCTTCAATCATTTTTAGTCCCCGTTCGGACACAGTCCGAAAACGAGGACTTATGTTTTGACCTTCGTGTGTCCGTGCGTGCGTCTGTCTGTGCGTACGTCTGTGCGTGCGTCCGGACCTGTATCTTAGAAATGCCTGGACCAATCACAATCAAACTTCACACATGCATCATACATGATATTATACATATGCACATCAATTTGTTTCAAGATCTGATTCAAGATGGCCGAATGGTGGCCATTTTTGTGCTAAAAATCTTTGAAATCTATTTACAGATGAATTTTGTTGCGTAATCGTTCGACCAATCTTGGACTTTAATTGTACATGTAAATCATGGTTTGGGACCTGTGTTATTTTTGGGTGGGTATCATTTATTTTCATCACCTTGGCTGCGTGTTAAAATGGGTCTCAATTTACTTTGGTTTGTTACGTAATCGTTTGACCAATCTTGGACTTTAATTGTGCATGCAAAACATGGTTTGGGCCCTGTGTATTTTTGGGTGGGTAACATTTATTTTCATCACCTTGGCTTCGTGTTAAAATGGGTCTCAATTTACTTTGGTTTGTTACGTAATCGTTTGACCAATCTTGGACTTTAATTGTGCATGCAAAACATGGTTTGGGACTTGTGTATTTTTGGGTGGTACCATTTATTTTCATCACCTTGGCTACGTGTTAAAATGGGTCTCAATTTACTTTGGTTTGTTACGTAATCGTTCGACCAATCTTGGACTTTAATTGTGCATGCAAAACATGGTTTGGGCCCTGTGTATTTTTATAAACTTCTATGCTCCTGCACCCAATCGTGGGGATCAATCATACTAAACAACAGGTGTCACTATTTCTAAGAAAAATGTACTTTTTAGTCCCCGTTCGGACGCAGTCTGAAAACGGGGACTTATGTTTTGACCTCCGTGTGTCCGTGCATGTGTCCATGCGTGCGTGCATCTGTGTGTGCATCCAGACCTGTATCTTAGAAATGTCTGGACCAATCACAATCAAACTTCACACATACATCATATTATACATATGCACATCAATTTGTTTCACGATCTGATTCAAGATGGCCGAATGGTGGCCATTTTTGTGCTAAAAATCTTTTAAATCAAGCATTTCTCAGCTATTTACAGATGGATTTTGTTTAAACTTGGTATATACATTAGACTATATAGGACCGTAATGCACTTAATTATGTTGCACGATCTGATTCAAGATGGCCGAATGGCGGCCATTTTTGTGTTAAAAAATCCTAAAAATCAAGCATTTCTCGGCTGTTTACAGATGGATTTTGTTCAAACTTGGAATATACATTCGACGTTATGGGAACTTGATGCAAATAATTTTGTTTTTCAGATAAGATTCAAAATGGTCGACTGGCGGCCATTTTGTTTTAATGAATGTGGCTCTCGTGTCATACATTGTATCTCTGACTTGCTTTCACTGATTATATTCAAATTTTAAATATTCATTATACAAGATGTCATAGATATTTTTGTGCTAAAAAATCATCAAATATCAAGCATTTCTGGCATTTATGGATGGATTTCGTTCAAACTTGGTACATGTATTAGACATTACAGGTTTCTAATGCACATCATTTATTTTTCTGATCGGATTCAAAATGGCTGTCTGGTGGCCATTTTGTTTTAATGAATGGGCTTCTAGACCCATATCTCTAACTTGTTTTGACTGATTATATTCAAATTTTAAATATTCATTATACATCATGTCATAG